AATGTGAATCTATAATTTTAATTAAATGTTGTACTTAATTAAAGAGTCTGATTGTACAGTACAGTACAGTGAAACAACAACTGTAGTTTCTAATGGGTCTTTTTTGTGATGTTCTCCAAAACTGAGTGATTGAGTTGCAATTATATTTTATAAAATAACATTGATTTTACAAACATTTGTGAGTAAACAATTTATAAACAGTTAAGTGGGTTGAATCTCCATGTAGAAGGCAGCTCTCGATATCAAGTTGGGTACCACCCCTTCTCCCATTTCACAGACAGTAATGTTAATCGGATATTACTTCGAAAATAAAAAATAAAAAAAACCACTGCATCTTTTTAATGTTGTGTTTTCCTGTTTGTCAATGGCCCCTATTAATCAGCTCACCTATTTGAATAAGAAATATAAAAAATATAATATAGCCTCTTTATACGACCTTAACTTCAAATTTTTTACATCAATTATCAAATATAGAAATCTGTGTATAGAACGTAATTGTGCCTATAATCATAACCTGCTACATAACGGCACTGTTAAACCAGCTTGCCAAAGAAGTTCGAACTGTAACACATGAGACATAAAGACGGAATGATGGCGCCGGGGTGGAAGTGGAAGAGGGGCATCCTCGTCAAGGTTGGGAGTCCAAGCCACAACCGATGCGCCAACATAATGATTTATTATCCACTGATTAGCTTGTGACGTATACGAACCATGAAATACAAATGATAAACCATGTTCCTTCGTGGATAGACTTTAAAAAGTCACTCCAATTCTAGTCTCTTTGCATGTACAGTACAGTACTTTTAAACTGAATCAAGAGGTTTTTCGTTTTCTCCTCTTTCAATTTCACTTTGTTGCAAGTAGTATTCGATTACATTATGGAGTGGAAATACTACCGTCTAACTTACGATCAAACAGGACTAATGAGGTAGGAAGCACACAAAACATTAGTTAGCATTTTTATTTCACAAACATAAGGTGATTTTAAATCAATTTCACTAATACTTAATTTATCATTATCATGATGTCATGCTAAGATTGTGTCAAGTAACATCGGAGTTCGTAAACTTGTGGTATCAGTACATAAATAAGTTGAAATAGACCTATCCGTGTCAAAGGCTGTATAATTATTTTTTAGTTGCGGTTATATGAAATTCAATTGACTAACTATAATTTGTTGAAATTAGGAAAAACAGGATTCTATGTATGCAGATAATACTGAACACTATATACGGGGTCTTAATAATATACAAGGGAATAAATCGTTTATCGTAGAAATTGTGCACTTTTGAGTTTGTAAAAATGTTGGCCTAATAAGTTTACACGCTTCCAATTTTAAGGGAAGTGTGTTTTTATAATAAATTTAGCATCTGATAACCGTTGCACCCATAACATCGAGGGAGTGGTTACTGAGATGGTTTCGAAATGTACAAACAGTTGCGTTTTTACTCAGAACACGCAAAACAGAACAGAGCACAAGTGAATAGACAAAATTTATGTCAGGCATTGTAATTGTTGTTTCCACTCGCTTGAAAAGTGGGGTTAAAAACTATAGAAGATTGGTGAAAAGTGGAGTTAGGGACAATTGATATGATGTCCCCTAGTTTGAAAAGTTGGGGGGGGGGGGGGGTT